TGAGCAACCCCCTTCCCCTTCTCTCTAAAACTTTGAATGTTTTGTAGGTTATCAACACAGTTTAGATTGTAAGAAGAAAAAAAACAAACAAACAAATTTGGAATGAAGAATAAACAAGGGGTCTGAGAATGGTGATAAAGCAGATCATTTTCCACCCAATTTTCTGTCTCTAATTTTTCATTTATGTAATATTAGATTGATTATATCATCATCATCATTGTTATTATTATTATTATTATTATTATTATTATTATTAGCATTTTCGCTATCACCATAATGAGTGAAAAGAAAGGGAAGAAATGATCAGTTTAGACTTCGTTGAGATCTTGAGTCATTTTCCTAAGAATAGCATACAATTATGGGAATGAAAAAAAAAAAAGTAGCTTGCCTAAGAATGTCTCTGAATGCAAAGCCCGTGATGTGAACGTGACCCGGCTGTCAGTTCTTAAAGTCCACCCGCAGTGGAATTCGTCCCTCGCTCACGATGCAAGTTGGAAAAGTAGCAAAAAATTACAGGAAATAGAACGGCAAAGGGACTTGATTTCGAATGACAATGGAACACATGACCAATTTTGTTAAGGATGACATACAGAGCCAGTCAGATCAAAGTGATTCACAAATAACGGTTGGTAATTTTTCGCTTCTTCCAACATTTCTCTTAACCACCACTTCTACCTAGAGTTCAAGCGTTTAGTCTCGATTCCTCCTGAACGACGCTTAAAAGGAATGGAAGACCTCGAAAGACAGACCTGCTGATTGTGTACCTTTGAGTTTCGATTTTCCCTTCGACTGCGAATAGGTCACGAGGAAAACCAACCCTTACCCGCCATCGAAGCAATATTTGTTTAAAGTTAGAAAAACTCGTAAAACCGGATTAAACATTGCCTTCTTTCGCCGGACGTCGTAATTCTAACGTTATCTCTCGTGATGTAATTTTTTTTTACCGCCAGTAATTGCATACGTTTGTTGAAACAAAAGGGTTAAATCTTGGAGGACGAGAACTTACAGCTTTATGGGAAGAAGTTGTCGTTTATTTTTGCAATCGGTGATTTATTTTCCTCATAATTCATAGAATTTATTCTTTTTTCGGATAATTTTTTTCTACCAGGAAGACGTGGATGGCTCCCATCAATAACTCTTAAAGTCGTAGGGTGTCCCGTTCATTCTTGACAGGATTTAGGTTCCAGAGCTTTTAAAATCCACTGTATATGGAATATTTTTACAGATCACTACACAACTCGATATAAAAATCTCTGGTGGAAAAAAATTAACAGAACGCAAATCAGAATGGAAAGCGACTGAGTTTCGTAAACACTAAACAAATTAGATTATCCATAGTGTTCCCAAAATGGCTCTGGCTCAGCTCAGCTGACAGAGCAAACGGTCAAGAAAGACTAGCTAGGTATTTGGAGAATGTGATCTCATATTTTCAGTGAATCAGTGCCGATAAAAAAATATAGATCACAAGGGATACTTGTGCATGCCTTGTGTTCCTGTCCCATGCCTGTTTACGTCTTTATAAGCGACAAAACGGACATCCCTGCATCCCGTGGACTCCTATCAATTTTGTAGCTTGTATCGCTCAAAAGATCTGCATTAACATCTGTTTCGCCACAAAAATGACCAAGAATTTGCGGAGGAACAGAGATTCACAGG